TGTTGAACAATGGAGAGTTTCACCTTGTGTCACATTTTGCAATGACATAATTAGACTTGTGCTATAATGAATAGGAAAGAAATAAAATTAATTAAAACTCTGGCTAACACTGTTCAACTGGATTTCACAGTTCAACATTTGAGTGAACAGTAATTAAAACAAATAATTTGAATTCTTGTATGACTACTGATGTACACTGAAATGCAAATATCTCAAGAGAGGGCATTCCTGATCTGGAATGTATTACTCTTCTAAGGGGAGAAGACAGAGAATGTATTGACAGCATTGAGGTTTGAGTGCTCTGCTCAAAATGTATGCTGAATGTAAGGTATCCAGGACTTTACATGATTCGTGGAATGTACATACAGGTGACCCAGTGATATGGAAAGTATTAACTGAATACTGTCCTTGCTCTCCTGTGGTTAAACTGAGAAAAACTGTTTGCTATGACCATGCCCCAATCTAAGAGCAATGACTCCAGTTACAATGATCATATTTTAAGGGTTTCACTCCTGCTATGTGTGTGTGACGGAACGAGTTTAACAGGTGTGACAGACCCCAGACCTGATTTCCCAGAGATGAATATGTCTCTGAGACAAGGACAGAGAAGCATTGTTTGGGAAGTTTCTGTTCATCCATTCCAGCAGAACAAAAGGGGATAATGTGAAAAAATTCAGGTGGTCTCCAAGTTTTAAGAGGTCAAAGATAAGTAAATGAACTTGGCCTCGCCTGACGGATCACATGTACAGAAAGTGTCAACTTTGCAGTAAAGGAAGGAGTGTATGAGGTGTTCATCTACTCTGAGAGCTCCCTAAGGTTCCAAGTGTGATGTGGAAGAGAAGCTATGAATGTCCTGTTCATACAGAGTGCAGCACATTTAAATCTTGAAATGCAAGCTGAGGAAGCCATCAGCAGGGCACAGGCCATACATGGTGAGGAGAGTGAGGGTACACATAGCCCACTTACGACTCTGTGAATCGTTCAGGCTTGGAAAACTCTAGGAACCAGATATGACAACTACACAGCTACATTTATTGAACATTGTGGAGAACGTAGACTAGAGCACTATCTGCAGCTCAAGGCAATACTTCCACAAGAGCAAATGTTAATCCATACTCTGACTGCTAAGTCCAGCCAAAGCAGATTAGTGTTCAAGTTCTTTGGGGAGAATGTTGAGTTCATTCCATTTAGTTTCCCAAATATTAGAAGCAGCTGTATTCTCCATAAAGATATGCTTGCTATAAGAACATATTAAAAATGTGCATTCATGACTTCATGTTCAATTACCAAACGCTAACATGAATTACAAGCCTAAAACACACTTTTTATAGGAACCCATGTGATTTTGTTGAATAAGCATTGTTACTAAAGTGATCAGGAAATAGTGTTTTCCCAGTGCACCCAATGAAAACTAAAGTTGGTATATGTGTCTGTATGTATTGTATGAATGTGAGCCTGTGTGCTCTTTGCTGTTCTTCTGATTTCTTTACAGCCACATAGTTTAAATGTTACTGGTGAGAGAATATCAAGCAGTTAAGTACTCTAATATGTGCTTGGGTTTCCAGAAGGATT